TGAAGCAAGAATAGAAACTTTGAAATGTTTAGAACAAAAATTTCACATAGATTGACCTTGTTTCACTTTAGGACACTGGAACAGATTCTAGTCAGATGAATTTGAAGAAGCAGAGATAAAAGATTCAATTGCAAGAACTATAATAAGACAATTCTTTTAAGTACCATAAAACCAGCAAAATGTTTCTAGTGCCTGGAAACTGGTTTGGAGAATGTAAGGTTTGTATAAGGTAGTGGTTCTTGACGTAATAGAAGAAGCTACTTACTTCCAAACTGGGTTAAGTACAATGGGTTAGATATTAAAAATAAGAGATGCGGGCAACCCACGCATGCTTTCCAACACCTGGTGCTGTTAGGAGAAGGCTCGTTGCATTTGTACATACAATGTGCCCCTTGCCTGCATATCCTCTCTCTCGTCTTCCTTTCCTGTTACTGTTGTTTTCAGCAACACTTCTCATTGTCTCTTTTTGAATGCATTTTCTTGGACTCTCCTTTTCTCGCCGCAGTTTTTCCTAGTTCTGATCTCATTTGTTTCTCTCAACTTCCAGGTTCCATATTCTCTCCTATTTGGATCTCATGTCCCCTGTGGAAGGAAGTACCAGTGCCTCCAAAGTTTCATCCTAGAATTAGAGTCTGGTGCATTGGAGTGGCTGATCTTGGGGCTTTAATTCCATCCCTTGAGTGTCGCCTACCCCATGGTGGGGTGGCTCTCACATTGTCAGATGACTTTATATAGTGTCTGGCACATAGTAGGTGCTCAGTAACAGTACATACCACTATTGCTGAGACAGGCTAGATTTAGCAAGACTACTGGATGCCAGCAGAGGTGAACAGGTAACTAAACACAGGGACTAGGAGGCATGTAAATGCAGTGTGTCTTTGAAATAAACCCAATGCCATAATAGCTTTCCTTTTGTCTTCAAGGCTCATGATCCACTCCCTTTGCACATGAGAGCCCAAAGAACGAGTACTCCTGGTCTTCCTAGGTGGTCCCAGCTGATTTCCTACCACCAGGTTCCTCCTGGACATCTTGACTTTTCTGTAATAAATCCAAAAGAAAAGACCTTTTTCTATACTTAGGACTTCCCTCCTGATTCCAATTTCTGGTCTGAAAGATTTACCTTTCAGATATGACCCTGCCTTCCATTCTCAGGTGTAGTTCTTGAGTATAGAGATGGTTGGCACCAGCTCTAGCATTGGTACAATTGTATAATATCTTGACCACATCATGACATACATGGTGTACCCATATACCTACACCTATACAATAAAAGAAGGGTGGCTCCCTCATAACCAGGTCTCACACCTCACCATTTAAATTATAATATTAATACCTGTCTTCCAGCTTGATTTGAATTGGGTTGAGAAGATGTCCACTAACTTGTCCTAAGGACTTCAAATCCATGGAATCACACAATGTTAGAGGGAGGAGAGACCTAGAGATTCCAAATTGGGACTTCAACTATGGAATTGAATTAAAGTGCCAAAGATCCCCCAAAGGGAACCCTATGAATTTGCTAACTTCTTATACGTCAGTGTGATTTTGTTAACTGAAATTAGATAGTGAAAGGTTGAGTCTGGGAAGAGAATCTGAAAAGAAAGGAAGGGAGAGAGGGCCACAAGGACAAGGAATAATCAAAAGATGGCTCCTGGAAGCCAAGTATCTGCTTCTTAATTCTGCCTTCACCCTTGTCCTAAGATACCAGGGGTGGTTTTGATGTCTTCCCATCACCTTCATCTGACCTTAATTAAGATCATGAAAATCTGTGTGCTTTATTCTCTTGCATGAAGACTGCTGCCCACCCAGCCCTGGTAATACCATTGTTCTATGAATAATATCAACATTCAATTCCTGTACTGTTATCTAAGGCCAACTCCTTCACTTTCCAACTGTATCTTATCTTCTCTCAACTATTCAAGAATAGATGGAACTCTTAGTTTCTCCTGAAACAACCATTTTCTGCTTCCTATTAGATCCTTTAAAAATATCCTGTGTGAAAATATATATCCTTTTATTCCCTTCCTGCTTTCACACTATTTTTCTATTCCCCTTTATGAAGAATCTGAGTGGTCAGTACTTACTGTGTCCATTTCCTCAACTCCCAATCTCTCTTCAGCCCACTCCAGGCAGGCTTTGACACATGATTGGTTGAAATCATGCTCATTAGGTCAGCAATGACTTCGACCTGGCCAGTCCTTCATCCTTAGCATAACTGACCTCTCAGCAGTTTTGGACAGTCAATCGTCCCACCTTCTTTTAAAAAAATTATTATCTCTAATAACAAACTAACAGAAAGAGAACTCAAGAACACAATCCCTCTTACTATTGCAACAAAAAGAGTAAAATGTCTAGGAAAAAATTTAACCAAGGAGGTAAAAGGCCTATACAATGAAAACTATAAGGCATTACTGAAAGAAATCAATGATGGCATAAAGAAATGGAAAGATATTCCATGCACATGGACTGGAAGAATAGACATAGTTAAATTGTCCATACTACCTAAAACAATCTACAGATTCAGTGCAATCCCAATCAGAATCCCAATGACATTCTTCACAGAAATAGAACAAAGAATCCTAAAATTCATATGGGGCAACAAAAGACCTCGAATAGCTAAAGCAATCCTGAGAAAAAAAGAACAAAACCGGAGGTGTCACAAACCCTGACTTCAAAATATACTACAAAGCTATAGTAATCAAAACATCATGATACTGGTACAAAAACAGGCACACAGATCAGTGGAACAGAATTGAAAGCCCAGAAATAAAACCACACTTCTACAGACAGCTAATCTTCGACAAAGGAGCTAAGGACATACAATGGAGAACGGAAAGTCTCTTCAGTAAATGGTCCTGGGAAAACTGGACAGCCACATGCAAAAGAATGAAAGTAGACCATTATCTTTCACCATACACAAAAATTAACTCAAAATGGATAAAAGACTTGAAAGTAAAACCTGAAACTATAAAATTTCTGGAAGAAAATATAGGCAGTACACTCTTTGACATCAGTCTTAAAAGGATCTTTTCGAATACCATGTCTACTCGGACAAGGAAAACAAAAGAAAAAATGAACAAGTGGGACTTCATCAAACTAAAGAGCTTTTGCAACGCAAAGGAAACCAGCGTCACAATGAAAAGACAATCCACCAACTGGGAGAAAATATTTGCAAATCATATATCCGACAAGGGGTTAACCTCCAGAATCTATAAAGAATTCACAAAACTCAACAACAAAAAAACAAATAACCCGATCAAAAAATGGGCAGAGGATATGAACAGACATTTTTCCAAAGAAGATATACAGATGGCCAATAGGCACATGAAAAGATGTTTAACATCACTAATCATCAGGGAAATGCAAATCAAAACTACACTTAGATATCATCTCATACCCGTTAGAATGGCTATAATCACCAAGACAAAAAATAACAAATGTTGGAGAGGTTGTGGAGAAAAGCGAACGCTTATACACTGCTGGTGGGAATGTAAACTGGTGCAGCCATTATGGAAAACAGTATGGAGATGTCTCAAAAAATTAAAAATAGAAAGACCATGTGACCCAGCCATCTCACCACTGGGTGTTTATCCAAAGAACTTGAAAACAACAATTCAAAGAGGCTTATGCACCTCTATGCTCATTGCAGCATTATTCACAAGAGCCAAGATGTGGAAGCAACCCAAGTGCTCATCAACTGATGATTGGATAAAAAAGATGTGGTATATGTATATACAATGGAATACTACTCAGCCATAAAAAAAGACAAATTCATCCCATTTGCAACAACCTGGATGGACCTTGAGGGTATTATGTTAAGCGAAATAAGCCAGACAGAGAGAGACAAACACCATATGATTTCACTCGTATGTGGAAGAGAAACTAACACACGGACAAAGAGAATAGTTCAGTGGTTACCAGAGTGGGTGGCACAAGGGGTGAAGGGGCACATTTATATGGTGACTGACAAATAAATAACATACAACTGAAATTTCACAATGTTATAAACTATAATGACTTCATTAAAAAATTATTAGGAGTTTTTTCACACATTCAAAAGATATGAAGATTAACATAATAAACACCAGTGTATCCATCAGTCAACTTAAAAAGTAGAACATTTCCACTAGAAACTCATGTGTGTCTTTCTCCAATTGCTTGTCCCTTCCTACTTCCTGGACGTAAGCACTCTCCTGAATTTTGTGCTTATTATTCCCTTGCAATCCTGCATCATTTCACTATATATGTGTATATCTCTAACAATGTATTATTTAGTTTTGTTTTATGAACTTTATATAAATGGTAACACTGCACATATCTTTGTAACTTGCTTTTTTCCTCAAAATTATTTTTATGAGATTTATCCATGATGCCACTTGTAGCCATAGCTTGGTTGCACTGCCGCACGGTATTCCATTACATGCCAATATTAGTTATCTATTGCTGTGTCACAAATTCCTCCAAAATTTAGCAGCTTGAAACAACAATAAGCAGTTTCTACAGGTCAAGAATTTAGGGTTGAGTTGTTCTAGCTCAAGGTCTCTCATAAGGTTGCAGTTGGGATATTGGCCAACTATGCAGTCATCTGAAGCCTTGACAGGGGCTGGAGAACTGTTTCCAAGATGGCTCCCTCGCAAGACTGAGAGCTGGTGCTGGTTGTTGGAAGGAACCTCCATTCCTTGCCATGAGGATATCCCCACAGGGCTGTTTGAATATCCTTACAACATGGCAGCTGCCTTCTTCCATAGAGTGATCTACATGAACAAAGCAGAAGTCACAATGACTTTTATGACCTAGCCTTGGAAGTCATGCGCCACCATTTCTAAAATATCCAGCTCAGTTCTCTTTAATGTGGGAGGGGACTACACAAAGCACGTGACTATCAGGAATTGACATCGGTGGCCATCTTGGAGGCTGGCTGCCACAATGACTATATCACAATTTATTTATCTTTTCTCTTGTTAATGACATTAGTGTTATTTCAATTTTTTTTCTTTTATCAGCTATCATAAACAGTGCTGCTGTGATCATTCTTGTTCAGGCTTCCTGGTGCACATGAGAAAAAGTTTCTCTAGAGGAAAACTGCTTGGCCATAAGGTATGTGCATCTTCAGATTTATTAGATAAAACCAAAATTGATCCCAAATTACCCCAAACTAATTTACCAATTTATACTCTCACCAGCAGTGACTAATATTTCCCATTCTCTATATCCTTGTCAATACTTGGTATTGTCAGGTTTTCAAATTTATGCCAATCTAGTGGCTGTGAAACAGTATCTTTTAAAGATAAAATTTGCATTTTTCCAAATTGCTAATGAGGTTGAACATCGTTTCATATGTCTATTGCCCATGCAGGCTTCTTCTAATGAGAAATGCCTATTTATGTCATCTGCCCACTTTTCTACTGGGTTGTGTGCTTTTATCTTACCAATTTGTAGGAGATCTTTATATATTCTCACTCAAAAGCTTCTGGTGATTGTATGTGCTGCAAATATCTTGTTCAAGGCTCCTTCTTAAAGCGCTTTCTTCACTTGGCTTTAGGGACCTCAATGTTGCAGATTTTGCTCCCATCTGACTCATTGCTTCTTCGTGGACTCCATTGCTGGCTCTTCTTTGCGTCCTCTACATGATGGAGTGACCTGGGAGTGCCCCTCTTCTCTGGTCTATCTAGATTCTCTCAATGTTCTTTGTCTAGATAATCTCATCCAAGTCCAAGGCTGTAAATAACATCTGTGTGCTGAACACTCCATGTTCATATCTTTACCCTCTTCCTTCATGTCTCCACATGGCTCACTCCTTCCCATCTCTCAGGCCTCCTATCAAATGTCACCTCCTCTGAGTGGCCTTCCCTGACCATACTAAGTACGATAGCAGCACCTGTAATTCTCTATACACTTAACTTGCTTTATTTTATATCAAAGCATCATCAGTCACCTCCTGACTGTCTATTAAAAATCTATTATATATTATCTGTCCAGCACTAGAATATATGTGTCATGGACTTTGAATTGTTTGTTGATGCATCTCAATGACTAAGAACAGTGCCTGGCTTATTATAGATGCACAATTAACATTTGTAGTAAAAGAAGCAATGACAACCTTCATTTAATACAATGCTTCATGACTTATCAAGATCTTTTATATGCAATCACACTCCTCCCAGCATCAATTAATGTTCAGAAGCATGATTTTGCCTACATTTGTGAATATCAGAGCAATAACCTCTCCTTTGGAGGTCTCTTAAAATTTTTTACTCAGAACCCTTAATTTCATTCCCAGTTCTATGTATTATTAGGTGGGTGACTGTCACTTGAGGAGATTGAACTATAACATCTCTCTTAGATGACTTCAGGCCATGCCATCTGTGGTTCAATGTTTCACGTAAAAGGGCTGTAGTTCTGAGAAAGTGACAAGCAATTCAAATTAATGCATGTGCAAAAGTGTTTGAACGCTAAATCTCAGCAACTCCAGGGCTGTTTAAGCTAGTGGTTCTCAATTATCTTTTTTCAGCCAAAATATATGACCATAGGCTAGTCTGATTTTCGCTGGAAGCAAAAATACTACAAAACATTCTTATTCACCACAACCGTCAGCAGCTAGCTCCCAGAATCACAGCTCACATTTACAACGGGTTATCTAGCAGATGTGGTCTTTCTTCAGGACCCCTCCAGAGACAGGCAGAAGATAATATCCAGACCTCTATCCACCTTATATTATTGCTAAGCCAGCAAATCTATGCAGCTAAGTCCATAAAAATACACATTTGGCAAGTTTGAGCAGAAATTGAGAGAAATTCATTCATTTACTACATCTACTGAGGGTTTTTGAGCCTCATACAGAAGAATTTGGTCACTTGTGTCAAATTACTGGTTTGCACTCTGACTCATTCCACAGCATAAATAGAGTGAATTTGTGCATCTCTCTCCCTGAGGACACAAAAAGGGAACTTGAGGCTGATCTTAAAATAGATTTCTCCTTCTCTGGGAACTCAATAGACTGGTTGTGTTATTGAAAGTTCTGGCAACGTGGGCCAGGCTCTACTGGGTGCTGACAGTTCACAATCTCAAAGCACATGTTCAGGAACATGTGGGGAAGATTCTGGGCACTTTGCAGGGGGTAGTCAAGCTCTAAAGGCTGTTGACAGAGCTGTTGAAGACAGAGGTGACAAACTGTAAAGCAGGGAGCCCTGCCATGTCAAAGCCTGTTATCAGCCTCACAGCTAACTGTCTTCACAGAAATCTACTGAGAACATAGTTGGACTGACTGAAACAGAAACTGAATCAGGAGGAGGGGCTTGCCTGGGGGACTAACAGAGCACACTAATGTTAGATAAATCCAGGAGCAGTGGTTGTGTCCAGGGCTCTACAGATTTGGAGTTCAGACACTGGTAGGTGTCACCTATGGAGTCTTAGCAATTTCATCAGCATCTAAGAGGTATGGTGTGTAATAGCCAGGAGAGGCTCAGTGCCATAACGTACAATAGCCAAATCTAATGGCTTAGCCAAAAAAGAGTCACAATCCAGTATGGGTTGGTGGGGGACATGGGGCTCTGCTCCACATAGTCATTCAGGGACTCAGGCTTCATTCATCTGGTGGCCCTTCCATCATCTAGAACCCTGGAGTCGTCAGAGGATTCTCTGTATCCAGCCAATAGACAAGGGAAGAGGGACACGTGGAGAATCCAAGGAGGGATTAGGGACCACATTCCACATTCCATTGGCCAAGGGTAGTCAATGACCATTCCTAGACAACAGGGACTTGGGAGGTGCATCTGGCTGTGTGACCAGGAAGGAGAGGATAGCTCGATATTGGTGAGCACTAGCAGCTCTGTACTAAAGTTTCATAAAAGACTGAAACTCAGTTTTGAAAACAAATTCATTAAATTTGAGAAAAGCCAAAACAGGACTGACCTTCAAAGCAGGTTCTATAAGAAGTCATAAATTTAATTCAAGTAGTGTTCTCTATTTTCAAAAATGTTCTTTGGTCTACCACTCTTGGAATTTTCTTCAGAGGCAGCACAGAAGCTCATTTCTTCATAGTCACCCTAGTTTAAGCCAATCCTCAAAGGATTGAGTTTCTCATCATTTGAATGATATCCATCATTGATAGTCTTCTATTTGATTCTAAAGAAAACACCCTGAGTTGCTCAGATTTTGCACAGTCAGAAAGTATAAATAAAATAAGTCTCTGAAAGGTGTGAGCAAACAAAGAAAAATTCATCTTCCCAGGGGTATTGTCATCCTTTAAAAGGGAATTTGTGAGTGATGTCAGCAAAATGGCTGAATAAGAGTTTTCCACTGTCTTCCCCCAAAGGAACACCAATTTTGACAGTGGCCCGGAATGAGAGTGCCTTTTTGGAAGCCTTGGCGTCCAGCAGAGAAATGCCAGCACATCTCTGGAGAACAAAACAAAACAAAACAAAATCAGGATTGGACGCACTGAAGAGCTTAAGAAGAGCAATTTAATTTTACCCACATCACCCCTCCCCAAGGTAGCACAGCTCAGTGCAAAGAAAGACCTTCTCTGCCGGCGATTTCACCCACCATGGAAAGTGAGAGCATGTGAGCGAGCTCCTGGCTTCCCCAGCTGTGCCGGAGGCTGCCAAAGAGACCCACTCCTTCCTGGCCCCGCCAGAATACTGAGGGGTGCCGCATGATGGGGGAGGAGAGGGACTCTGCAAGAACAGCAGCCCGGGCTCTCTGAGGGCATCAAAGAAACGCAGATCCTGCTGACTGCTTCTCCAGCTCCATCAGGAAGCCCGCCCACAAGTCACTGGGGACGTCTTGCCTGCAGATCCATACAGATACGGTAGAAAGGGCAACATCTTTTACCCAAATGGAAAAAACACTGGACTTCAGTCTGAAAACAAAGGGTTGATTCTGACCTAAGGCAAGCCAGCGACGACACCTGTGAAATGAGAACTAACTATTTTCCTATAGGAAAGGAATTTGCCTCTTTATTTCAACACAGCAGAGCAGAATGCTTCTAGATCAATCTTCCTAAAACTTCCTCTAGTCATGTTCTTTCATGTACAAACACCTACAAGGGTTCCCCTCTCTCGGAATCCGAGATCTCCGTGCTCAGGGCCAAACCGGCCTTTCCCAGCTGACCTCCAAGACCTCCCCTGCCGCCTCTTGGGTTCCAAACTAACCTGATAATCTGCTTCCCGTGCTCACTTGTTACTTTGCATCTGTGCTCTCCCCACTCCGTCCACCTAGAGTGTTCCTTCTCTCATATGTGTCAGTTGAATCCCATCCATCCTTCAAGGTCCAGGATAAGTGCCTCTTTCTCTGTGAGATTTCCTCTGATCTATCTGAATCTCCCCAATACTTGGGGACCTCCTCTTACATCAAGTACTTTATTGTTTATATAGTTTTCTCCCCATCTCTAGAAGAATTGATGTTTTTCTCAATAGTGTATATATCTCCTTCAACTTTCTGTTTCCCCATACAGCCTAGCAAGATGGCTTTTACCTAGTAAAAATACACTATTTATTACATGTCTCATGGACTTAATATGAAGTGAATTAAAGACATCACCGTTGTCAATAAAAACCACCTTTGAATGAGCACCTACTATGTGCTAGACCCTGTCTTAAGAACTTTTCATGCATTATACCACTTAATTGTGTCGTACATATTTCTATATAAATGATACCCTTATCTTCAGTTTGCTTGGCTATTTTATAATTACTTTATATTTGGCTATTTTATGTATAACTCAATAATTCACTAATTTGAAATATAGAACTTCCAAAATTACGTAAAGTATCAGAGGAAATAAAATATAAACTTTCATATTTAGGCAGACTCATGTTTAGGAATTTCATATTTTTTAATTAAAAAAACTTTGATTTAAAGTACATTGGGAGTTGAAATATCAGTGTATATTAGTTAAAATGATAACATGTAAGGGAGGGTGACAAAATCAAGGGGTGGATTACTCATATATTGTGCTCATGACAACAAAAAAATAGTATTTTTTCTCATTAGATCATGATTATCACTATTTTTTTTTTCCTTTTTCTCCCCAAAGCCCCCTGGTACATAGTTGTATATTCTTCGTTGTGGGTCCTTCTAGTTGTGGCATGTGGGACGCTGCCTCAACATGGTTTGATGAGCAGTGCCATGTCCGCGCCCAGGATTCGAACCAACGAAACACTGGGCCACCTGCAGCGCAGCGCGCGAACTTAACCACTCGGCCACGAGGCCAGCCCTGACTATCGCTATTTTTTAAGAGTATTCTTTAAGGAGAAATTGTAGAGAATTCCTGCTCTGTGAGAAAAATTCTTTTCCTGCTCTGCATGCTTCCCAACGCTAACACAGGGCACAGGCCAGAGTTTTGAACTTTCACCCTTAAGCGCATTCTCTTAATCACATTCTTCGTTGTTCTGTCAGCAAGTCAGAAAATGGATTTATATTTTATAATGAAAACCACAGCAATAATCTTTGAAGCTGTTGATTTTTATAGTCAGTCAAGCCTAATCATTAAGTTCCTTGTCTTGTCATTGCCAAGGAGGTGGTGTGACCTGTCGAATCACTCTTTGTAGGTAAATTTCTGCAGTAAATGTATATTTTTATTGCTGTAAAGTATATATAACGTAAAACTGACCATTTTAACTATTTTTAAGTGTACGATTCAGTGGCGTTGAGTACATTCACATTGTCGTGCAGCCATCACCACCATCCATCTCTAGGACACTTTGATCATCCCAAACTCGGTACCATTAAACACTAACTCTCCATTTCTCCCGCCCGCTGGCCCCTGGCAACCACCATTCAATCTTCTGTCTTTATGAACTTGATTCGTCTAGGTACCTCAGAAGTAGAATCAAGCACTAACTATTTTTAAATCATCTCTTTTCTTAAAAAAAAAAAACAAAAATGAAACCACATGTGTTACATAAAAGTGCTTAAGCAACTTTAATTGAGCAAATTGGCTGAGTTTATTCAAAAGCCTAAATAAATCTCCCCTCCGTTCAAAATAAGATTGCAGACAAGGGATTGGCTAACTTGTATATGTATCAAAATTGTTCATCAACATGGGCAGTGCCAGCTGGAGTCTCTTAAGATACTTCGCTCCTCAGTCATAGGGAGATATCCCAAGAATTCTGGGATTCTCCAATCTCCAGGAAAGGAGAAGTTTATGCTTTTTAACTGCTACAGTAAAAAGTGGTGTTTTTCCTTTCTTCCCTTACATATCAATTTGAGAGAATATTTGCTGAGGGGAGGACATATTTTTTTTCCACATTGAATCAAATGGCCAAAGTTAACTGATTAAACATTCAGTATTCTTTTAGAGGTAGTCTAGTTTTACTAAAAATGAGTGATTGGTTTTAGTTTGGCTTAAAAATGTCATTAGAGAGCCAACCCTGGTAGTTAAGCCTACTGGTTAACCTAGTGGTTAAATTCAGCACACTCCGCTTCAGCAGCATGGGTTCAGTACCCTGGCACAGACCTACACCACTCCTCAGTGGCCATGCTGTGGCAGCAGCTCACACACAAAAAGAGGAAGATTGGTAAAAGATGTTAGCTCAGGTCAAATCTTCCTCAGCAAAAAAAGTCATTAGAAAATTCATAGTTCTTTTATTGGTTTTATGTAACAATTGTTGGTATACAGACTCCCTTTTAGTTTTTAAATGTAAATTTAGACAATTGGGGCTATTTGCTTTGGTTCAAACACCTTTTTTTCTTCAGTGTTGAAAAAGAAAATATAACACATGGTTATATTGGAGACCTTGTGAGCACAGCCTCACAGCTAGGCCCCCCTTGATCCCTGCAGCCACTATGGCAGAAACCAGCTTCCTGCAGGTGTAAATGGCAGTCCCCTGCCTCAGCTACTCCCAGCACTTATTGCTTTCTGCTGTGAAAATGTCTACTTGGCAATCAGGTAGGTACAACTTTTAAGTGTGGGGAAGAGTCATGGTTAGTTTTATGTGTCAACTTGGATGGGCCCATGGTGCCAAGATATTTGGTCAAACATTATTCTAGATATTTCTGTGTAGGTGTGTTTTGGATGAGATTAACATTTAAATTTTTGGACTTTGAGTAAAGCGGATTGCTTTTCCTAATATGGGTAGGCCTCATTCAATCAGCTGAAGGGCTTAAGAGAAAAATACTGACTCTCCTTTGAGCAAGAAGGAATTCTGCCAGCAGATGGTCTTCAGACTCAAACCACAACTCTTTCCTGAGTCTCCAGCCTGCCAGCCTACCTCATCAGATTTTGGACTCACTAAGCCTTCACAATTACATGAGCCAATTTCTTAAAATAAACCTACCTATCTGTATCTATCTATCTATCTATCTACCTATCTGTCTGTCTATCTATCTATCTATCTATCTATCTAACTCCTGTTGTTTCTGTTTCTCAGGAGAATCCTGACTAATAAAGTTGAGGAGGCAGCACTAACACCTTACAGAGCATTCTTTGGTCTAATGGGAGATGGAGCCCTGGATAAATGCTTCCACCTTCTAAATGATTCTGAGTTGCTCAAGATGGCTCCTTGGATGGTCTCAGTGGGATCCAGGCTCTGTTGGTCACAGTGACCAACTGCTTAAACATCTTCCAGTTGGTTCGGCCTTCTCCCTGATTCCACTCTTCCCAGTTGCTCACTCTTGCCTTGGGATGACTTCCTAAGACAAACTACCCTCACACAAGCCCTTCATAGATAATGTCGTCTCTGTCTCTCTGTGTCTCTGTCTCTCTTTTTCACACACACACACCTCTCTACTCTGCTTTCTTCTGTATTGGTTTCACTCTTCAGCAGGTTAAACTCACCTCAGCTGGAGTCAAGACACCCACCCACATTTTTAGGCTTACGTCTTACTAACTTAGCAAGCCCAGAGTGGAGAAAAGCATATTTTTTTCCCCAGTAGTGCTAGCAAAATTCCTGGCATGATGCTCCCTGACTCTGATTGGCCTGGCATAGGTAGTGGGCCCCCCTGAACCATCCTTCGCTTGGATCAGGAGCCAGGTGGTGGGGTCAACCCCACTCAACCCATGTTCACTGAGAGTGGGAAAGGTGGGCTAACCCAACGGTGAATCAGGGGGCCATATATGGAACTCAATCCATGGCCTGCAGAGATTTAATTCCTCTTCCACCTCACCTCTGCCTAAATTCCTTCCCTCTGCTCCTCAGAACAGGCAGGAAGCAGCTCCTGTTCCCTTCCTGATTGCCTCCTGGCTTAGCACCATGTGCCAGACGGCACTGGACGTGTAGGCAGATCTCCTACCTAAGTAGTAAAATGAAGGAGAACAGAGGTTCTGACTCCATCAAAATTACCCCTTCCCCTTTGTCACACAGGGAAGGGCCTCACAAACATAGGACCCTCAAGACAATGCCCCCTTCGGTTATCCCTCCCTCCTGATCCGCCTCACCGCTCTTCCTGTAACCCCTTGTGTTTCCCCCACCGAGTGTCCTACGATTCAATTCAATTCAATTCTGACACTAACTACCCAGAGTTAACACAGAATCCACAAATTAAAGGCTCAGTTCTACAAGACTGCCCCCACTTCAGATGCCAGCCACAAGTCCCCGGGGCCACCTGCCCTTCTGTCTAACTTGGCTGTAAATTCAAAGATTTTCACAGTGCCCCTCTCATGTTTGATGATTCACTAGAGCAACTCACAGAACACAGGACAGCACTACTTATAATTTCCATTTTATTATAAAGGATACAAATGAACAGGCACATGAAGAGGTACACAGGGCAAGGTCTGGGAGGGTCCAGAGTATAGGAGCATCTGTCCCCATCGAGTCAGGGGTATGCTGCCCACCTGGTACATCAATTGTTCACCAACCAGGAACCTCCCCTAAAACCTGCCGCTCAGAGTTTTTAAAATCAAAGTTTCATTTCACAGGCACGATTGATTAAATCATTGGCCATCTGTAATTGAACTCGATCTCCATCCTCTCCCCTCCTTGGGGTGGGGCTAAGAGTTCTAACCCTCTAATCACATACAGTTGTTGGGTTATCTAGCAACTGGCTCCCATCTCGAAGCTATCTAGCTCCCACCCCTCACCCCAGTCATATCATTGGCATAACAAAAATCTCTCTCTCTCTCTCTTTCTCTCTCTCTCTCAGGAAAGTCCCAGGGTTTTTGAAGCTCTGTGTAAGAAACCAGGGACAAAGCCCAAATATATTTTTTTATTATACCACACCCTTCTTTCAGGACTTCCAACTTAGTGACCCCCCACTTGCCATCAGGAGGAAAAGATTCTGTCTGCAGAGGGACGGGGATGGTGGGCTCCAGATTCCCATGTGAACTGCGTGTTCAACCAATGATCGATGCAGCTGATTTCCTTTTTATAAGTGAATAAGCAGACACACTCGCCAAAGTAAGCATTAGTCTAGGTTCATGAAAGAAAAATACGTCCTCATGAATATGACTTTGAGCTTAGTTACCCCTTTGTGCTAGACATGGAGATTCAGATTGATGGAATAAATGAAAGGCAATAAAAAAAGTTAATATATATTGAGGTATATGAGGGAGCCATTTTGGTTTAAAACTGATTCAGCCTGACCCTGTTTTTCCAGAATGGCCTGATGTGGCCTGTCAAGCATATGTTGCACATCTGCTTGAAACATTTACGGTATACCAAAGCAAAGAATGCTGCCTCTAAACACAGGGATGCAGGCCTCCCTCCCACATCAGCATTTCTTTAGAG